TGCTGGGCCGGGGGCGCGCCCTTCTCCTGCCGCCGCCGCCGCCTCCCTCCCCCCGAACCAGAGGGGAGAGGGAGGCCGACAGTCTCCCAGGCGCGTCCTCCGCGGGGCCCCGGAGCTTCTGCTGCCTCCAGCGCCGCCGGCTCAGCCTCCAACGCGCGCCGGCATCGCCGACAGCCCGGGTGGCGGCGGCGAGGACGAGGCTCCGATTTCCCTGCACAACAGGCACGGCCGACGAGGCTCAACGCGCTGCCGCCATGTCCGGCCGCCCGGTCTCCGCTTGCACCCACGGTGGGGCGGCTGCAGACGGCGCGCGGTCTTGCGGAGGGCCCCGGCGCGCCCTCCTCTCGCCGGCCGCAGCGTCCTCTGCGCGCGGGCCTCGCCGCCTCCGGCTCCGCCGCCGCCGCCGCTCCCGCCGCCGCTTCCTCTCTCCTCGGCGGCTCCGGCGACACTGAGCCGCGGCGAGCGGTGCCAAGCCGGCCAGGCGGCGCGCGCGCTCCTTCCCTCGCCGTCGCAAGGCTCACGCGGCTCGGCCACGCCCCCCATTATCCCCGGGCCGCGGTTGCCCGGGCGACGCCACGAAGCGTCTCGAGCGCGCTCGTTCCCCCTCCTCGCGGGGCCTCGGGAGCCACGTGCCTCCTTCGCGGCAAAATTCGAAAAGCGAACGCCCGGGCGAGGACCACAAGGGCCGGCATGCCCCGCGCACCTAGGCCGCTGCGGGAAAGCCTGTAGGGGAGATGGGGGTTGGAGTCCATTGTTAGAAACTTCTCTCGCGTGCTCTCCCCCCTTTTCTGGTGATTTTTAAAGCGCAGGACTGAACAGCGTTGTTGTGTGAATACCATAGCAGAAGATGTAGGCCATCCGAGGTTCCTTGCAGGAGAGGGTGGGATATACATGTAATCAGTACTAAAATCTCCCTGATGGTTGAAGGCATAGGAACAATCCATAGCTCCTGCCCTCCTGCTTTCAATCCAAAAATATATGTTTCTACATTGTACACCCATGGACAGGAAGACTCAATTAACAATGCTTTACATAAATGAGTAATAGCAAGTCAGACCCTCCGTCCTCCTGGCCCAGTGTTACTGGCACTGACTGGCAGCAATCTCTGAACTCTCAGACAGAATTGTCTGAGCACTCCCCACTCTCAAAAACATTTAGAGGCAGCAGCTAAGGCGAAGACACGCTGGCACATGTGTAAATATGGAAGGCCTTGTTATCACAACATTTATCCATATTACTACCTCCTCCCAAAATGCAGTCGCCACTGGGCCTTGCCAAAACACTGGGGCAAGACGCACACCAACTGCTACGCCTCCAGCAGTTCACCAAGTTAAGACACTTATTAAAAAGTGTCTGATTAAAAAGAAGTCGTGGCCCTCCATATACCTGGAACGTAAGTGCTTATAATTAAGTTCTGGCAATCCTTCTGAAATAGATGCCAATGCAGTGAAGCACCGATTGGGCAAGAGAGGCCGATCCCATCCATTATTCCACTCTTGCTCAAGACTCTGTCATGTTTATTCACCAATAATCACTAGGTATAAACCTGGTTAATTCCTGCTCAGCCTCAGCCAATTATTCTAATTGGGAGCCTCTGGACCTGCAAAGCACAGGGGCCAGGCCACGATTCCAGCAAATGCTTCCATTGCACCGCCGGCCCTCCAGCTGCAGCCGGCAAATCGTATGTCGCGCACAAGGCAGACAATGACAGGAAGTAACTATCAGGACTCGCGGGCCGATCCAAGGCGCAAACCAGCCAGTCCATCCCCGTCGGCTCATTTCTGAATCTGGTTTTCCCCACTGTAAATTTTGCACGTAAAAACAGAACAAGCTGACAGTAACTGGCGTGACATCATGCGCTGCACCTCTTGCACAAGGCGGAGGGAGCTGCGCCGGGCACAAGCGAAGGGTTCCAGCTTTGGGAAAGCACAGCTGCCCGGCTGAAGAAGAGAGAAGCCCCGGCCCGCCCCAGACACCTGGCCGGCCCGGCGCGGTCTCTGCCAGCAGGCCATGGCTCGCCGCGTCCCAGCCAAGGACACCCCTGGCCCGGCCTCTCCCCCAGGCCGGGGACCCCCAGCCTGCATGGCCGGGCCCTTCCGCGACGCCCGTGCTCTTCCCGCAACTTCCACACCGACACCCCCTCGCAGCGTCTGTCTCTGGGTTCATCGAGGCCGGGCTGGCTGGATCAGGCCCAAGGGGGCTTCTCTAGTGCATCCCCCAGCACTGGGGGGGCAGCCAGATGCCCCCATGGGAAGCCCATGTCCCCCACCCTATGGACAGGGGCGGTCTCTCTTCTCCACAGGAGGCGAGCTGCTCCTGCATCCTCTCTCTTGGCTGAGGAACAGGGAAGAGGACATCAATGTGCTCTCCCTGTCGGGCAGCAGCCCATGCGCAATGCATGCACCTCCGTTGCCCAGCTGAGGCGCATGGGCAGGGAGGTGACCCGGCCTGCCCCTTCAGGGCCCAGGGAACAACAGGGAAGCCCCCCCCCCCATGCCGGAGCAGCCCCCCCAGGAACGCCCCTCGGAGGCTTCCACTGGCCACCCTGCCACTGGGCTCAGGCCAGGAGAGCTTTGGCCACCCCCTGCGAGCGGCTGTTCCCGCAGGCTCCTCCCCCCCCCGCAGCTACCCTGCTCCCCCCCCCCCCCCGCAACCTCAAGCTGCCCTTGTGGGAAGCCGGGAGGGGCCGGTCCCGTCCTTCCTTCTGCTCCTGCCCCCAGAAATGCACCTGAGAGAGGCGCATGGCAGGGCCCACACATGCTCCCCGCGTGGGTATTCCCTGGGCGACACTCGCCGGCCTCAGCCACCTCTCAGCACGTGCAGGAGAACCCTGCGACCCATCCCGAGACAGAAGTGGACAAAGGGGCCGTTCAGGGAGCCGTCCCCCCCCCCCCCCCAATACCTGGGCTGGGCTGCGGAACTGGAGTGGCTTCCCGGGAATTGAAAACCAGGAGGCGTCCCTTCCCCGGTTTCAGAGCATTCAGCGCCGATCAGCCCGGGCTCCCTTTTGTACAAAGTTATTGACTTATCAAGGTTAAAATACATTCAGTGCAGTCCAAGGAAACAGGGATAACTCGGCATTATGCTGTCATCCAGAGATCTGTTTTCATGGCAACGGGCCTCCTTTTCTGCACATTAAACGGTTGAGTTGTGCAAAGTTCAGACATTACATAAGCCGAGAGGTAACAACAACAACAGAAATCGATGGGCACATAGGCATGGAAAAGGGAGATAGCATTGATTCGCGCGGCCATCGATATGTGGCGGCCACAGCTCCTTGCGCTCCGCTAAACCCTCCCGCAGCGGCAGAGAAAACACTAGGCTGAAGGACATGCCCGAGAAGCCGGCCTGTCCGCGCGGCCCCACCTGCCCGTCCAGCGGTTGGGTTGAATCGATCGCACGCCTTCGCACGGGCCGTCACAATACTCCGAGCGTAACTGGGAACGCCTCACTGTGTGCAAAGCCTCGTGACTACAGAACCCATCATGCAATGCAGCGGCAAGCTAAGCCTGTGCATGCGAGAGCATCGCAGGCCTTTCCGTGAGGTGGGGACCTGACCATGGGGACCAAAGCGAGGAGAATTGCCCCTCCCTCGCCAAGAGTCACGGAGTCGCCGCTTGGGCCCGGCTCAGCACTGCCAGCTCTGACAGGCAGCGGCGGCGGCTCCCCGGCTGGCTGGCCTCTTCCTCAGAGCAGCCGCTGCTGAAGGGCCTCTGCCATGACGCCCCGCCAGGGTAAAGACGGAGCCTGCGGGCACGCGGAGGCCGCTCTGGGCGTGGGGCCCGTTCCCCTCGGCGGCGGCGGCAAGGTCAAGGGGTCGGCTGCCTTCCGCTGTGCCGATTCTCACACTCACACACGTCCGAGCACATGTGTACATTTATTTATAGTCCCCGGAGAGTCGTTCGGCTGCAACAAATCTGCGTCGCAGGCCGATCCCAGGGCGAGAGGCGGCTCGGGCGTTCTGGGCGCCCCCCGCCGCCTCCAGGCAGATGTTCAGGGCTGCAGCAGTGATGGAGAGCGACAGCTGAGCTTGCAGGAGAGGGTCCCGCACCGGGCCGCAGACGAGGGGCTTCTCTGCGCGAGGCAGCCTGGCGCTGAAGCAGGGATCCCACCCAATCCCAGGGCAGCGCGGCAAACCGACGGAAGGATTAAGGACGGGCAAAGGGCTCCGCTTCCCCCCGGGCAGCGGCTCCATCGCTTGGGGGCGCCTTCCAGGGGCTGGCGAGGGCACTTCCCAGCTCTCTGGCTGGAGCCTGTCTCATGCGCCCTCGTCCAGGCTCGGCCTGGTGCCGCGCTCCTGCGACTCTGCCGTGAAGGCCAATTGCCAGGAAGCGTCAGGCCTTCGGTCCAAGGCCTAGGAAGGCCAGCCTGGCAGGGAGACACGGGAGTGACGTTGCTTCAGCGGGGCCGGGTTCCAGTGAGAGCGAGAAGAGGGGACATGTGGGGCCTGAGTCTGCCCAGGCCCCGCCAGGACTCATTCCCACGGCCTCCATCTCGCTGCCCCGCTGCCTGGGAGCCTGCGCTGGCCCTGGCTGCCGCTGCGTGGTGGACCTCGCCTCTTCTCCTTTCCTTGTTGTGTTTCCCAGTAACGGATGATCCTACTGGGAAGTCTGTTGCTGTGGTTGTCAACTCCTTCAGGAACAACTCATGGAAACGGAGAGGAAGGAAGGGAAAGCTCTGCATCCGCCTGAGCTGGCTGCTC